CAATCTAAATTTTTTTTTTTGGGCTATCAGCACCAGAAAATATTATTTTTGTGATTTGTAGGAAGAAAAATGGCTTGAAATATATATGCGAAAGCAAGATGAAATGGATGGAAATAATATATTTCTTACAATGAATTCTTAATAATTCATGTAAGAAATAAATATTATAGATATGGTTTTATAAATTTGGATATATAATTCTTCAAATGATTGTTTTGCAAGATGAATTAAATGGATTCATATTCTGAATAGTATATGATAAATTAAATACTTAGTTATTATGGCAACAAATAATAATGCCTTTCAACATTTCGGACATGTTTGGTCGTCACGTGCGTGTACTCAAGTAGAGTTAATTATTTGGGCTACCCGCACAAGTCTGAAGAATTTTAGGACTAAGTTGGTGAAAAAAGAGAAAAATTTTAGGACTAAGCTTAAGGAGGAATTGCTAGGAAATTTCAAGAAAAAAATATAATTATTAAAAAGTTCCAAATCCCAATGACAATAAAATAACCTATAATGACAAGTTTCAGATAATAAATGACAATTTCTTACTTATTATTAAGACTTGTTGGTATTTTTTTTTTTTTTTAGATCCCATTGTAATTCTCTCAAAAATTAACATATAGCCAGGCTTTTCATGTTAGCAAAAATAAGTGCCAAAAACAAAAAGGTTGAGCCCGTTTAGCTTTGGATTGGCCCGAATACCTGTACTTATTGATTTTGCATGTTAACTAATTATTATTTAACTTACCATGAATAAAAAATAATTATCATATATATATATATAGGAGAATCAGTTTTCATTGTTTTGATTTAAGAATAATTTGATATCCAATATTATTTAATCCAAATTTTAAGAATAGTATTTTCCCAAATCTTATATGCATTATAGCTTATATATAACCATCATGTAAATTTTCATTTTGGAGGGTAAATAATCTATATATTTATATATATAATATGTGCTTTGTATCATTGAGTGAGATGATCGGATGATTCAAAATTATAAAGATTTATTTTCAATCTAAACTTGTATATAAATTTTTTTAGCCCACTCTTTATTGCACACATACTGGCCCTTTCGCTTTGTCATTGTAAGAAATATTTATGAATTCCGCTAATCTCTTAAAAAATATGACCTAAAATATATAAAAATATGCACTATTAATAGGTCATGAACTATTAAGCGTTTTTCAGAGAAGGGTTTTTTTTTTGGGGGGGGGGGAGTTACCTGATGCTATGATGAAGAAGACCATTAAGCAAACCAAATTTTATGAAACTTTAGCCATTTCTTTGATTTTTTTTTTTTTTGCTATCAGCACCAGAAAATATTGTTTATGTTATATGCAGGAAGTAAATTAAATGGATTGATTTCCAAAATAAATTAAATGGATTCATATTTTGATGAATAGTATCTGATAAATTTAATTAAATACCTAGTTACTGCGGTAATGGATACTAAGATCTAAAAACTTGTAAGATATGCTTGGTTGTCGCGTGCGTGTCCTCATAATTAGAGTCGGTAATTTGGGTTAACAAGTGCTGAAAATTTTAGGACTAAGCTTAGAAAAGCTAAACTTATAATCATGCCTTTTTCTCTGTTTTTTTTTTTGTTGCTACAAATAATCATGGCTTTTCAGTTAGCCGGTTGAAAAAAAGCTGAAGCCCATTTTGGTTTGGATTAGCCCAAATACTCGTTCTTATTGATTTTACATTGTTAACTAACTATTAAACTTAATATGAATTAAAAATAATTATTATATATATAAATATAAAGGAGAATCAATTTTCATTGTTTTGTTTTATATGTCTACTAATTTCAATATTGTTGTAAAAAATTTTCTTATTTATCCATTTTTATGTCTTTGCTTGATTCAAAATTTTTCCTTCCTTTTTTTTTTCCCTCCATAATGTTCATGGAGAAGAAAACTCCTGTAATCAGGAGCTATGGAAAATAATTGTATTATGGTACGAATTTCATTAGTTAATAAACTGTATTATATATATTTATCTCATTTTTTAAACATATATTTAAGAAAGTGTGCATATGCGCATATATGTCTTGCGCGCGCACACATAATTTCTTTCAGATTTGAAAACCTCATCCCTCTATAGGGATAGTTTTGCATTTTCAGCCTTTGAAAAATTTTAATTGGAGAAAATACCTTTTCCTTTTGCCATCAGGAGAAAAAAAAAAGCTGGTTAATATAATGCAACACATCACAAATGTAATTAACTGTTGAATTTCAAAGTGGCATTTGTGCATCTTTTCAATATTTTGTAAATTTTTAATATGAATTTTTCAAACTGATACAAGACAACTTGAAATTGACAGCTGAATTTGAAGCACACTTGTGACTTGATTTTTGTTTTTGTTTTTGTTTTAGAAATAATGAACAAATCTTGAACTGGTTATTAATTCATCGAAGTATAATTGTGACAGTTTTTTATTTATTTATTTTATCGAGTGACATTGTGATATTATTTAGCATATTTTTATCAACTATTATATGCACGGAACATAACAAAATTACGCACCCTGAAAATTTAAATAGGGAAATTAAATTTTGAATTGCTTCTACATATATCCCCCTGTATGATTTTTTGAAGTCTTTTAAATAGTGATTGTTTTTCAAGATTTTGAGAGTAATTTTACAAATTTGGGGCCCTATTTATATATGATTAATTTAATTATGTGATCCTTTTTTCGTAGGGTCGCTTAAACCCCATCCATTACCTATTTGATGACACAAAATGGTATAGATTTTGAGATACTCATCCACTTTAAAAATTACAATCGGCTTTAACTTAATTTATACTTAAAAATAATTTAGTAATTAAAAAATAGTTTTTATATCAATGGCCTTGAAATCTAATGATATAAAAAATCCACGATAAGCTGGAGGTTGTAAAAATATTAATACAAAATGTTAGTCTGACTACAAGATTTTGCTTCTGTTATTAAAGAAACAGAAGTAATAAGAATCTATGACTTTTGTTGCGTTAAGAACTGAAGCCGTAAATAAGATTATCATTCTATCACCACTGTTATATATAACAACAGGTGACATACATAAATATATCAACTATATATACGCATGTAAATTAACTCTTAAAAATTTTAAATAAGATGTAAATAAATTGCCACTTAAACTAATAAAATTTTTTAAAACATGTTAATTTTGAAATAGAACAATAAATTACGCGCATTAAAAAATTAAACACTAATGGTGACTGGTTTGTTTTGGACCAGACGGCATAGGTGAATGAAAATTATTTTAAAAAAAATTGTTATCAAACCTATTTGCATTGTAACAGGTGTCATAATTTTTCCGAAAAAGAAAAAAGGGTTTTTTTGGGGCCTGAGAATAAGAAAAAGTGTAAACAACTGAAAGTTTAAAAAAAAACCAAAGATGGCTTCTGTCTTTTTTGGGCCTGACACCATAAGTTCTTTTAAATTTCTATATGTTTTGCGGCTGATCCTTTCAATCGGCAGACGCTATAAAGTGCTTTTTAATGAAAACATTTGTTGCTCTTTCCCTCCACAATGCTTCATTTAGTATTTCAGGTAGCGCCTTAATTTTGGACTTCATTTTCCTCCATAATTTATAACCTTAGGCCGCTAATACTTTCATCTTTAATTCAAAATAAAAAGTTATAAAAGCAATTCAAATATATAATGGATAAATGTGCATTGTAATATCATTTTCGATGTGTATCCAGTACCCCAATCTTTTATATGGTGATAGTTTTGTATTTTCACATATTATTATCGACATAAGTGCCATCAGTCTAGACAATCAAAATATTTTCTTAAGAATAATTTGATATCCAATATCACTGACTAATTCAAATTTTAAGAATAATATTTTCACATATCTTATATGCTTTATCTTCCAAGTTAAGCTTATAATTAACCATCATGTCATGTAAATATTTCATTTTGGACTAACAGAAGAAAGTGTGTAAAGAGCCATATTCAAACATGAGATAAAAATAACCTGCATAATTTGTTCCCAGTGAGATATAAATATTCTTATTCATATTTATTTCAGATTCAGAACCCAAAAGTAGTACAAATATGGATCAAGCAAGAGAGAAGTAATTATTTAAATTAATTAAAGTGACGTGGAGAAGAAGAAGAAGAAGAAGCAGGAGGTTCCTGACAGCAAACACAACACTTTCTGAAACCACATGATGCGTTGCAGTGTCCATGGTTCCTGTAGTTACTGGCATATTCTCCAACCTGTCCTCTTATTTTTTGGCACAAATCCTACGGACCTACACACGCACATACAATAAAGTGTGTTAATATAAATAGTTTTCAATTTCTGGTCTTAATTTAGTTTTGATTAATTTTATTGGTGAGAAGGACCATAAATTTGTATACACAAAAAGTATCAGTATACAATGTTGATACTATTATGACAATTAGGTCCTTCGCATCAATAAAAACTTTTTATAGGAGATTTTTTCCTAAATTTCTCTTTTAAAATTAATCATATTATTCTTGAGCTATGTATATTTTCAAGGCCCCTTGCAATGCTTTAAGCAATCGTTTGGGGCATTCCAATTCTTAATCATTAATTAACCTTTTATGTACATAGCAATTATAGTTGGAAAGAATTCATGATATTTTCGGTCTCTTCTAAATCAAGCACATACAGGGCAGAATGAGACATACAACATGAATATGAATGTATATGGTGTGTGTGTGCGCATATTGACATGCCATAGAGGAACGTATTTGTATGTAACTTAAGCTCCACATTTGTTATGAATAAGTATAGAGGAAGTACCTTTTAGAGAGTCTTTTGTTGTCAAAAAATGATTATATCAGGGATATGAGCAATTTTAGGCCAATCTGGTCCTTTCTCCTTTTCACACCTCTCCTTCAACAACAGGGAATCAAGAATTCGTAAGTGAGAAAGGGATGCAGGTAAACCATGTTGTGGCATGCCTTCAAAACTCATGCGAGAGCAACTGTAAAATGATAAGGAAGTGAGAGAATGGAGGTGCACAAGACCCCTATGGTTTATTCTTCTCAAATTGGTACAATAATCGAATGACAGAGATTGGAGATTGGGCGGCAACAATCTCTCTTCTTCAGGGAACCACTCCATGACGTCATCACTAATAGTAAGTTGTTTCAAAGACAACAACTCATGCAAACCCCAATCCCTACCACACGCAATGAGCTTGGAACACCCTTCGATTGTAAGACATTGTAGGCTGGAAAGCATACCTCCTTGGGGAAGAGATTCCATTGCTGGACAATCACATAAAGATAGGTCATGGAGAGGTGGAAGCACATCTGAGATGCTCCATGTGGGTATGTCTTTCACTGATATCTTCCTACAATTACTTAAAGATAGCATTTCCATGGAAGAGGACTTGGGAAGAGTGGCCTCCAAATTCCCACATCCCGAAATGTCTAGTTTTTTCAAACAAGGAAGATGTTGAGGCAGAGACTTTGTCAGTCTAGGACAATCATATATATAAAGTTCTTCAAGGCATGGGAAACCTTCACCTTCATAACATACATCCCATTCTTCCCATTCTCTCATATCCAAAAACATTAAATATAAGAGGGAAGGAAATGGTTGAGCAATTAAGGAGCCATTCCCATAGAACTCTTCACTTATCACCTTTATTCCAACAAATCCTTGAATCTCAAGTTTATGGAGGGAAGGTAGTTGCCCAAAGGGTGGCAAGCTCACACAGTAGAAGCAACTCGATAGAGATAAAGACACTAAATTGGGTAGAAAATGTGCAACACCAAGAAGCCACTTTGGAAATTTGGTACCTCTGTATCCCTCAACGGTGAGCTTTTTCACACTCTGACTTGGCTCAACTGCTGCCAATATGTGCTCCTGGCGTTGTGCCTCTTCAAGACTATAACTAACTCCCCGATACCACAACGTCAATTTATCCAATTTCTTTTCTTTCATATTGGCCTCCCTCATATCTGTAGGATCACTTATGTGCTCCATATTTGAGATGGTTAGCGAGCCTCTTAAGTGGTTAAAGGCTCCTAATTCTTTTATATTTGATCCTCCTTTCTTTACCACAACAAATCGATTCATTGTTTTGAGCTGATTTAACTTTCCCATACATCTTGGCATCTTTTGTATGGCACAGTCTTCTAAGTCAAGATGAAGCAAGTTGATGAGTTTGTACAAATTTGATGGCAACTCAGTCAAGCAATCACAACCTCTTAATTTCAACGTTTGTAAATTAATTAACAAGCACATTGAATTTGGCAACTTCTTAACTGAAGTGTAGGAAAGATCCAAATAATACAGGTGCTTTAAATTGCTAATGCCATCTGTCAACTTTATCAGATTTTGAGATCGATTCAAAGATAATTGTCGTATGTACTTGAGACGACAAAGCTTGGACATTATATCATCGCCAATGTCAAGACTGTCAAATAGGATAAAACTACGTAATTGGTGGCATTTTAAAACTTTCTCAAAAACGTCAACATTATCACTTTTGCATCTTATATATGAAAAGTAGCAAGTCTTCGTTGACATATCTTGTGTCTGAGCAGCATCGAGCAACACAAAAAACTCTCCTGCCACAGATTTTGCCAAATCATTAAGAAGATCATGCATGATGAAATAATCGCCCCCTCTTTTTGATGGCTCAAAAAAAGACCTAGACTCTAGATCTTTGAAAATTTCATCACCCGTTTCTTCAAGGCTCGTACTTCTTTGAGTTGGATATACTAAACCATCTGCCATCCACAATTGGATTAGGACATTCTTATCTATGTCATAATCTTTGGGAAAGATTGAGCAATATGCAAAACAACGCTTCAAATTTGAGGGTAGATAATGGTAACTCAATCTTAAGGATGGAACAATATTGCAGTCATTTTCTGATAATTCCCAAATCTCACTTTTCAAAATCTTATTCCAGTGCTGAAAAGAGAGTTTTATATGCAACAAACTTCCCAGTGTTTTTATTGCTAAAGGCAATCCTCCAGATTTCTTTATGATTTCTTTACCAATCCGTACAAGATCTGGACCAACAGCATCGGGTTGGTTGTTAAATGCATGTTTCACAAATAAATTCCAACAATCTCCATCTTGTAATGGCTTCAAAGGATATGTAAAGGCACAACACATAACTTCTGCTACCATTTTATTACGGGTTGTGATAAGAATCTTACTCTGTGGTGCCACTTGTCTCAAAGGAGCTGTGAAAACCTCCCAGATTTGACAATTCTCATTCCAGACATCATCAAGAACGAGAAAGAATCTCTTGCCCATCAATGTCTCTTTCAGTTTATACTGATTTGAGTGAAAATCTTTTTCAGTTGGACAACTAAGTGACTGAAGAATTGCTTTTGTGACACAATCAACATCAAACTCTTCAGAAACACACACCCAAGCTTTATGTTGAAAATGATCCTTCATCCTTGGATCTTCATAAACAAGTCGTGCAAGGGTTGTCTTACCCATCCCGCCCATACCAGTGACGGCAATCACATCCATAGGCAATTGATTCCTGCATCCTATGTTCTGTGACAATAAAATCTCTACAATCCTCTCTTTATCAGCATCTCTACCATATATGTCGGATTCATCTATCAAATGTGTTGAAGGCAATCTTTTCCATACTTTCCTGCTCATCACTCCCGACTGATTACCAACAGATGGCCCTTCTCTTAATCCCAATATCTTATTTTGCTTCATAAGATTCTCTAGGTTGCTGAGCACTTCTTTGATCCTCGACTCTATCTTTTTGTCAAACTGATTTTGACTAACAAGAGGAGTAAAGAAGCCTCGTACCTTGCGGATAACAGTAGTACTTTGCGATTCAGCATCCAGCTTCTGTCGTGATGCCTCAGTAGCAATGTCGTCCAGCAAGTCTTGAGCCTTAAAGACTTCATCTTTGAGCTCGTCAAGCCACTTCTTCACATGATGGTCTCTGTATTGCCTTTCCTCTGCATCTTCAACAATTTTGCCCACAGAATTAAGGGTGATATCCAACTCTTTGAGCAAGTTATCATTGAGCTTTCTGCGACGAAAGTATTCAACAAAGTCATGAGAAGCCAATCTCTGAAATGCCACCTGAAGGAAAGACGAGAGAAATGCTCCAGCCACCAACTCTGCCATGTTAAATCTAATAGAAAGTATTTAGCAGCAAGAAAGGAAGAAAGCTGGACAAAGAGGAACGAGAAAGCAAGAGTTGTTAATGCTTCACTAGTGTGCGAGGTATAGATAGGCGAAAGTCTTTCTTTGATTGTTGAGAACTTTGGATGGTTCTGAGAAACTACTCTGAAATTGTAAAATACAAGGCTTGAATTTGAGGGATGCATGTGAACTTGCTTGTCCAGGGAGACTTTTGAAAATTCAACTTTGCCATTTGCCAGTCTTCCAACAGTCATTCTTGTTTTTGTCCTTACCCACGTCTAATGATTCTCCTTTTCTTTCTTGTCCTTTGAAAAACGATACCAACCACAAGCGAGGATAGGGAATTTTGATTCTTATTTTATCCCAAGCGATTGCAATAATTAATGGGGGGAAAGCCTTTAGCCACTTCATTGCAGTTTGCAAAATATCCAAGACGATAGTAAAAAATAATATATTACATGAAAAGCATTCAGAAAAATAATAACATCAAACAATTAGTTTTTAATTGATCGTTTTGCAATTTTCCCCTCTTAGCACAGCTTGTTTTTAATCCTACTTATTCATCATCATACTAGAACTATGATGATGGCAAATACTAAATATTATGTCAACATAAATTTTAAATTATTCTAACACTTTTCTTCTGGGGAAAAAAATCATATATTTTCCTATCAATTCTGCCATGTTGAAGCTAACAGAAAGTATTCAGATCCTATCCTCCACGCTCCTTTTCTCTTTATCACTGTTTGGACCAAAATTCCAATAGTTTATATTTAATATTTTATAAAAATAAATATTACAATAATTTTATTTAAGAAGTACATAAAAAAATTTAAACTATTAAAATCCAATCCAAATAGTTCAATTGTGGCGAAAAATAAGGGGAAAAATCTACTTTATGATAACATATAATTATGAATTGTTCAGATCAAATTTTAACAATTCAAATTTATTTATCTATTTTTATCTGTAATTCTAATGATATTTTTTTATTATAAAATGTTAAATGTGAATCATTGACGTTTTGATCCAACGACAGTGAAAAGAAAAAGAGAGAGAGGAGGGGCGGAAGTGAGAAATGATCGAGGAGAGGATCGTAGCCTGGGACCCAAAAATAGATGAGAATCTTGGTTGTTGGGAACTTTTGATGCTTTTAGGAAATTATCCTGGAATTATAAAAGACCACCTCCGGTTCTTGATAGAACTACCGTTCTTGATATAAGATAATTAATTAATTTGAGAAGATTAAAAAAATTAGTTAAATGAATTATTTTTAGTGAATAGATAATTTTTTTAAATGACTATTATTAATTATGTGTGTTTGAATTATCAATTGACAATAACTTTTTAACATATGTAACTATTATGAGAATTATTTGAGGCTAAAATTGATAAATATAAAAGATAAAATAGATTAGGATTTTATATTTAAGATCAAATTAAAAATCAAATTAAACGAGTTCTTATATTAAAATGTACAGGTAATAGACTTGAATTCGAGTGATGCAGTCTTCCAACTACTATTCTTGCTTTTGTACGCTATCGATCTCTAATTCTCCTTTTCTCATTTGCACGTTGAGAAACGATACGAATTGCGCAGGCGATGGTGCAGAATTTTTCAATTTTTTATGATCCTTTTGCATTTTTAAATTGTCTCCTTAAAAATTAAAAAGATTTCAGTTTCATTAAGGACTCTTCGAATTGCAATTTTTCTGCTGACTTGTGTTTAAAAAAGTGTGCACGCGCACGCATGTGCCTGTGACCCTGTGCGTATGTGATGATTCTTTTAGGTTGGTAAGCTTTTTCATGTTTAAGGTCTTGTGTTTACGCATTATTAATCTTGACAATCAAAAATAGTTTTTAGAACAATTTAATATCCAATCTCATGCCAAACCCAAGTTCTAAGTATAGCTGAGGCTGAAAAAATGACGGCTTTGAGGTTGTGAAATTCCAAAATATACAGGACTTATTTAGAATAACTTATAAGTATTTTTTTCAATTATAATTCATGAAACGCGGATAAGTATGTGAGATGAGTTTTGTTTTGACTTGTATCAAGCTGTGTTTATAAGTTATTTCTATCATGATTGCAAACGGGGCCATAATTGAGGGGTGCTTTTCCGACATATACTTTTTTTCCCCCTAAAAATTCAAACGTAATATGTGTTTTATTGAGTCTCCCCCACTTAATCCAACTATCATTGATTTGGAATATTTCTCCGTGTGGGTGTGTGTATAAAAGATATGTCAAGCTTCCTTTACTAGACAAAGATAGAACAAGAAATTGAGGTGTTAATGCTTCACTGGAGGGGTGAGGCATAGATAGAGGAAAGTGCTCTGTTCAGGTGTTTCCGAGAAATTACTGCACAATTGAAATGCAGGCTTGTTTGAGATCACGTTCAAAAACACTTATAAACATTTTTTTTTACAGAAGTCAAAATAAAATTCTTATATTCTCATAAATCACAATTGAAAATTGATTCAGGAGGTGTTTGGTCAATTTGGGTACCATGAAAAATACTTTTTAAAAATATTTTTTTTATAAATCAAGATAAACTTCTTTATGTATGTACTCCGTATACTATAAAATCAGTTCTAAAATCATCATTTTAATTTCATCTACACACCCCGTACAAGCGATTTCGCATTGATTTGCTCCCCCTTTTTTCACTTTCGGTGCGGCAACACTACTCAAGAAGCAAAAGTAATGACAAGAGCCTTCTACCAAAAAAAAAAAAAAGTAATGACAAGAGCCAACGGCTATATCTTTTTAATTTCTGTTTTATTCTTTTTTTCATATTTTATTCCAAAATTTATGCCAATCTTCCAACAGCCATTCTTGTTTTTGTCCTTTACCTGCCTCTAATAATTCTCCTTTTTCTCGTTTGTCCTTTGAAAAACAGTACCAACCACAAGCGAGGATAGAGAATTTTGATTCTTATTTTATCCCAAGCGATTGCAATATTAATTAATGGGGGAAAAGCCTTTAGCAACTTCATTGCAATTTGTAAAATACGCCAGATGATAGTTACAAAAAATAAGATATTACATGAAAAGCATCCAGAAAAACAATAACATCAAACAACTAGTTTTTATTTATTGTTTTGAACTTTTCCCCTCTCAGTACATGTTGTTATTTATAATTCAAGACAGTGAAATAAACCATAAGAATATAAATAATAACTTGTGTTTTTGGGCTAACGTTCATAACCTATACTTTTCCAGAAGAATTTCCAACTACTGTTGGAAGAATTTCCTATGCCTGGACAAGGATGTTAAAGCTAACAGAAAATATTCACCAGCTGAGAGCTGTTAATGCTTCACTACTGAATGCATATTTGGATTGCTGTTTGGAATGAAAAAAGTCTATAATAAAACGTGAAATTGCAGTTTGTGACTTATTTAGGACTAAATAGTTACTTGGATGGGGCTAAAAGCCCAATCAATTTCTGACATTCAATCTCAATTGGACTTAACGGAGAAAAATATGACTTTTTTATTTCAAACTGTAGTTTCACACTTTCCCATAGATTTTTATAATTGAACTCACTTTTCTATTTAATTATCTAAACAACTTTTAACTTTTTTAACCGACTTTTTATAAGCACTTATCTAAATATAAATTACATTACATTAATTTATTTTTACTCTAATTTTAGTTATAAAAATCAGTTAGATTAGAAGTCAGTTTTGTCCAATATCAATTCAAATACATCCTGAATGGTGGTAACGTATGGATAGGCGAAAGTCTTCCTGTGGCCGTTTGGGTACTTTCGGCAAATTACTGGGTAATTGGAATCCGACATAACGATTGACTTGCTTTTCCATTTTTTGCTTTCGGTGCGGCAACACTTTTCCAAAAGCTAAAGGAAGCACAAGCCAACGGCTCTTTCTTTTTAATTCCTGCTTTATTCTTTTTTCATATTTGATTCCAAAGTTTATGCTCACGCTAACGCACCGTCTCGCTCATAAAATGTCATTTTAATAATGTTTTTCATCATTTATTGCTCTTGTATATGCTAAAAATATAATAAATAACTTATTTTATTGTGCAATTTATTATTTTTTACGTATTAAAAATATAGGCAACATAATCATCAAAATATAAAAATGCAAGCAACAACTTATTTTGTTTGGAATTTATTATTATATATAAATTAAAATTCAAAAATTAAAAGGAGTTTTATCGAATTATTGCACATTTACGTTTTTTTTTAACAATTTATGTAAATTGCAACTAATATTAGGATTATTATAACACGCAGGGCCTTTTGCTTTAAGTAATTAATTAGGAAAAGGGGATGGCAAATCATGCTTAACAGCTAATATTAGGATTATCATAACAGGTGGGGCTCTTTACTTT